GATTCCCAGTCTCCAGTCCAGGCCTCTCCTCTGAGCTTCAGATCCATCTGTACTCCGCTGCCTCCCAGACAGCTCCACCAGCATGATGAACCCGTGTCCCAAATGAGACTCAGCCGCTTTGCCCTGCTGCCAACCAGGTGTTCCCTGGGCTCCTTGGCTGATGAGTGGCACCTCCAGCCACCTGCTTGTCTCAGTCACAAACTTGGCTCTCCTGAGTTCTCATCTGCTGCCCACAGTGGTGAAAGCTACCCCCCTGGCCTGCTATGGTTGTGGAGTCTAGAGTTTTAGCTAACCTACTTTAGAATACAGGAAGTAGAGACTTGGGTCCATAAAGTATTAGGATAGTTTGTTCTCCCAGTGGTTTTCTACCAGTGAATGAGCCAGGCCAAGTCCTGGGGCAAAAGGACAATTACTTTTCAGGCTTCCCCCGACTGGTCCTACTGCCCCACCCCTACCCCTATGCAATGTGACCATTGGACAAAATGGTGGAGGAAATTTATAATCGTTAGACTATTTATGTCCTGTATGAGAGATGAAGATTAGCATGCCTAGGTCACTGCCATCTTCCAAATGTAGTTAGAACAGCATTTTCAGTTTAAAAAACAAAGCATCCATATTTTATGTCTATATAAATATCATGCCCTGCAGAACTTGTTACTCTATGATGATAACATTTTCTTTCTTCTAGGTTTCTTTGCTTTCACTGGAGATGTACTAGTTATTCTTTTCATCTTGCAATGTTTTCCTTGTAATAATTTTCTATTTCTTAAAATTAAAACTCCATAAAATAAAATCCCTTTCTCAGGAGGACTTCCCTGTGGTGTTTGTTATTAGCCACTGTCTGAGTGTCTTGAGTGTTAACTGAATTCAAATAATTTGCTAAGTGTCAGTCTAGCAGAGCTACAGCTCTACATTATTCCATCATGGCCATGAGAGAAGAGGAAAGGGCCAGTGGGTGCTTCTAATTTAAAATAAGAATTGTATCCTTGCTTAGAGATTCCAAGTGCAATAAATTATCAAGAAAGAGAACCGATCAGAATCACAGACATTTTGAGGAAATTATTTTTACCAGCGATGGCAACAATTTATTTTAAAGTCGTGGGAGTCTTATGCCTTTTAAGGAGAGGTTTAATGTTGCAGAGAGCAGAATATGTCTGCAAGAATGATGAAGGTCCACCCAGGTCTCTATAGTTCATAGGAGAATAAGATGGGTGGGCTTGTGAACGTTCTCATTTTAGCACCCTATCAAATGCAAGACTCCATCTCTTCATTAGACCTCTTATGCTCATTATGATGACTTGGATTTTTAAGGCCAGGCTCTTGAATTTCACTAGTTAGCACTGTAAGAGAAAAAGAAAACCAACTACTGTGGGCAGAAATACAGAAAGAGTTGAATAAGATTTTATATAGTAATAATGGAAAAGGCTCATCTCGAGATGTTCTTCTACATGTCTTGTTTTGGGGTTATTTCCTGACTTTCCATGGTACTTCTCAGCACAGTAGTAGTAGAAGATAAATATTTTGAGCATGGTTAAAAGCTCTTTATTCTACTTTCTCATGCCAATGATCACTTGAGTCTACAATTCTAGGTTGAAAAAAATTTCCCTTGGAAGTTTGAAGACATCATCCCGTTATCTCCTAGTGTTGAATTTAACAGTTGAGAAGTGGAACTGAAATTTCACAAAGCTGTGCTTTGGGTCATTCTTCAGTGAAAAGCTGGACAATTGGGGGCTATCTGAATCTGGAACCTCATCCTTTTAATTCTAAGTAACATTCATGTATTATTTCATTGCTAACGTTCTCCCTTTTACTTCTGTTTTATCTTCTAGAGCTCCTCCCAGTTGGATGTTGGTTCTCCAAATTGATTTCTTATGTTACTTGTGAAGATTTTACAGGGTTAATAAAAAAGAGCCCTAGAGCCCTTTCTTCTCTCAGTTTGAAGCCAATGAAGAACACAGTAGACATATAAATGGGTATCAAGATGTCAGCTTTATTGCTGGTAAACAGCAAAGGAGGATTTGGCTTAAAACCTTAAGTCAAAAGGACTTGTTAATATTTCATCCAAGAGTTAGGATCTACCTACTTACAGGCAGAGCTGGGCAAAGCAGGCCTTCCCTGCAGGGGTGGGCCTCAGGGCTGCCTGGCAGAAAGTAGATTACAAGGTGGGCAGAGAGATACCAGGAGGAGAGTCCTGCAGGGCTGAGCCAGGTGTGATGGGTAAGTAGAGCTTCCTACCCTGGGGAAGTGTGAGTGGGGTGGGGTTGGGGCTGGAAAAGACCCAGAGAGTTTCCCTAGCGGAAGTATACATGGAAATATGAAGGCACGGGGAAAAAATTCCCCCTAATTTAATTTTTCTCATTAAAAATTAAGAACAAAATCTCTTTGTCTTTTTGTTCATTTTTTTTTTCTGGAGGATTTCCTAAGTTTTATCTTTCAAAGCTTTTGTTAATTTTTTTTGGCTTTAACAATAGTATTGTTTATTTTCAAAAGAACTTTCTTGTTTTCTGAACAAGTATCTAGAAATGTGTCAGAAATTATGGCTAACAAACATAGTGAATTTAGGAAACCTAATAGAGAAATGGATAAAGGATATGAAAAGGAGTTCATAAAGGGGAAACCCAAATGTCTAGCAAATAGAGGAAGAAATAGTGCAACCTGCTTTTAAAACAGAAAAGAAAAAAAAAGCAGAAGCATGAGATGGCATCAGATTGGCAGCACCTGAAAATAGTATCAAGTATTGGGAAGGAGGAGGGATCAAAAGAGGGGGCCCTCCCACGCGGGTGCTGGGTGGCATCATTCGGCACAGCCATTCTGAAAAACGTACAGTCTGGCAGGACTCAGTGAAATTAAGCATGAAATACTTTGTGGCCTCACAGTTTCACTCCTGGGTTTATTTCACAGGGATATTCTCCTCTAGGTCTATTGGGAGCATGATGAAACATTAATGGCAGAGAAAAAACAGTAAGTACTTTCTAGATTATTAATATTAACATAGAAGGAGCAGGGATGGAAGATGAAGTGAGGGGATAGAGTAGAGGAGGTGCAGGCAAGCAAAAAAAGAAAAGGAACAAAAATTGTGCTAAAAAAGAGTATTATGGATATGATCTCATCAGTGCAAAAACATATGTGTGTGCATGAAATTTAATAAAAGACTATTCTGTGGCTTAGTGATTCCATTCTTGGATATTGTTCCAAGTGGAATTCTCACCTAGATCTACAGTGGACCATGATAAGAACATTTATCACAGTGGTAATAGTGGTAGTTGGGTGTTGGGGACAGCCTGGGTTTCATTATCAGGGGCCTGGGTAAATAAACTATGATGGACACACACCATTGAATACTATGCTGCAGTTCAGATCAACAAACCAGGTGTACAAATAGCAACATGGATAGATCATAATTATTTATTGTTGGGTGAAAAAGATCAGTAACAAATGAGGTTTATAAAAGTTCCATTTATGTACACATGAAATAGATAAGCACACAAACTATACCACATACTTTATAAGGACACATATTTAGGAATATATATTGTTTCAGTTACCTACTGATATATACCATGCCAACCTCAAATTTCTGTGTCTTAAAATTAAAAACTATTTATTATTTCTCAAGATTCTCTGAGTCAGAAATTTGGGCAGGGCTAGGTCAGGTAGAATCTGTGGTATTGGGGGTCACACTCTTGGATGCATTCATTTGTTGCCTGGGCTGGGCTGGAGCTCCCAGAAGGTTTTGTTCACATGCCACAGGCCTCAGTGTCACTCATGCAGGCCTCTCTCTCCATACTGTCTCCTCCCCTAACCCCGGGCCTCTCCATGAGGTCTCTCTCAAGCAGGATAGCTGGATTTCCTCATAGCCTGATGCCTGGCTTCCAAGAGTGAAAACGGAAGCTTCCAGGTCTCCTGAAGGCCAGGCACAGAACTGGCAGAGTGTTACTTCTGGCACTTTCCATCGGTCAAGGCAAGTCACACAGCTCAGATTCAAGAGGAGGGAAAACAGACTCTCCTTCTGATGGGTGGTGTGATTTGCATGTTCAGTGAGAGAAGAAGTAGGTGGACACCATCTCCAGAGACTCTCCCATGCGGCAGACCCGGCATTCTGGCTGCCTGTGGAAGGTAGAGGACTTGGTGCAGGAAACAGGAGGAAGCAGGGAAAATAATAAAACAAGAGAAAGGTCTTGCTCAGACCTCTGAGGAGCTCAAAGGGACTGACTTAACTTTCTGCACCTGAGGAACGAAGAAAGACCCAGACCGAAACCCGCCAAGTAAAATGGAGTTGCACAACCCAAATCAGAAAAAACCTAAAAAAGAATGACAATATGGAAACTTCAGAAATAGTCCAAGTATCTGTCAGCTTTCGGTAAATGACATTGCTGACCTCCCAGTGAGCAGAAAGAGAAGGATGCAGAGGTTGTCTCTTGCTTTCTCCGTACAACCTTGCCAGTTCCAGGTGCAGCATGGGGCGCTGTGCCCTGAAACTTGGCATCAGTTCAGCCGACGTTGAGCTCCTCCTGCCCGAGGAGGCTGCCTTCTGCGAAGCTCTCCCCTCCTCCCACTGAGCTTCCTGTTCTTGAGGGGCTTTGCTCTTGAGGGGAGCATGAAGCGAGTGAGCCCAGAGCTGGGGTGCCTGGTGGCTGAGCCAGCAGGAAGCTGGGGCCTGTGCTCAGATGCTAGATTAGGCAAGAGCAGAGAAACGGCCCCTCTGATCCTGGTCAGGGATATTTGGAGACACCAATGATTCTGGGAAATTCGGAGGCAGGAAGTGGAAGGGGGAGGGGCGGAGGGGAAACAGCCATCTGTACCCGGCCCCCTGGCCTGGCCCCCCTCCCAAACCCTGCAGCGCAGCCTGCGGTGCCGGCATGTGGGTGTTGCGGGGACACACCAGGAGACCCCCTTTTCTGGGAAGAACAGAGAGAGTCCTGTCCCCCACCTCTCTTACACATGCCTGAGTTCCAACCCCATGTCCACTTCTATTTACTGTCCAAAGTCCCGGGGGCAGGAGATGCCAGGTTAGAACCACTTGGGACACTCAGGACCAGCCAGGACCAGCCCCCTCTCCTCCTCTCCCACCTCCCAAGCGCCACCCGCTGCTTTTCCTGGCTCTCACCTCTCCTTTGCCCTGGGGCCTGGGCTGCCTGAAGAACCCAGGAGTCAGCCCTCCATACCTTTAACAGGTATCCAAAGTTGGGGAGGCAGGTGGGACTGGGGATGTTTGGGATTAAAGAGGTCCTACTTCAGGGACAGCGGGGCTGGATGGGAAGACTTGCAGTGGTCTGGACCTTGAAAGTTGGCAGAAGGCTTCTGGCCATGTCAAGACCCAAGCAATCTCCCCTGAAGGGATGGGACCCAGCTGTGTTTCAGCTCCAAACCCGCCTCTAACTTCAGACCTAACCTCAGCTGTCGCCTTGACCTACCCTGACCCTACATCCAACTCCATGGTCAACCTGCACCTGAATTAGCCTCTTAGCACCAGGCCTGAGAGCAGCCTCAACCCGGCCCAGGTCCAGCTCCTGCCCCACACCCAGCATGGCAAAGGACTTTCAGGACATCCAGCAGCTGGACTCCGAGGAAAACGATCACCAGCTCGGTAGAGGTGAGGGGCCTGGCATTCATGGGCACCATCCCAGGAGGGAAGAGCCATTTTGGAGAGATGAGGGTCCAGTGTCTGGGTCTAGCTCCTGATCTCTCTCTGTCTCTCTGAGGTCTCTGTTGCATTCACTCTGTGACAGACACTGGGCCCCTCTAGATGTGAGGTGTCCAAAACCTCTGCTTGCCTCCTGACGCCACCTTTCTCTCCACTCCCAGAGCCCCAGGAGAGGGTGTTACTCAGAGGTGAGGGAGCAGCTGGGAGCTGGAAATGACTTCCTCTTCTCTTCCTTCCAATCTGAGCAGCATGTGCCGTGTGTGTGTGTGTGCATGTGTGTATGCACATTTATGTGTGCAGGGAAAGCACATTCAGCCAGGAGAGGGTGCGTGCATGTGTGTGTGTGTGTGTAAGGGAGGATGCGTGGGTGGGAGAATGGGCACAGAGAGATCCTGGAAGATCTCCACTCTCCTGGAAGATCTCCACCTCCTGCCTGAATCCTTCGGTACCAACTCTTAACTGGAAGGTCCGAAGTGTCTGGGAAACATCTTAAAGTAAGAGAGATCTGAGCGGCTCCAGGTGGATGGGCAGGAGCCAGGGGTGCGGGAGGGGGTGTTAGATGTGTGGGTGCTGCTCCACCAGGCTCTGCAGAAACAGGAGGGCTTGGGGCTCTGATCTCAGGGAGGGGGAATTGGTTAGCCTGGGCTGGGAAGAGGGATCCCCCACTCCTGAGGCTGGCAGACCAAGGGAGGGCTGGTGCTGTTACAGGCAGGGCGGGAGCTGGCAGGGAGGAGCAGCAGAGGGCCAGGCACTCCCACAGCTAGGCTCTCCCTTCTTTGGGTAGCAGGCTGGCAGGCCTTGCCACCAGGCAGGAAGCTACACAGGGCAGATGCCATGTCTCGACCCCTCCCCTCTGCATCCTCTGCCCCTGTGATGCCTGGTATGCAGTGACACTCAGAAATGGTTTGGGATATTGTCGAATCTTCTGGGGCCAAGAGGATTCAGAGTTTAAGCAGGAGGCTTGCGGGGGCGGCCGGATGTGGGGCAAGAGGTTTTGGATGTCATGGAAACAGGCACACACTCGACAGGCCTGAGAGACAACAGCATAGGGCAGGTCCGAGGAGGTCCAACCGTTAAGGCATTTCTCTCCAGCAGCCTTCCTGTGGGGTGACATCTATCACTTGCCTACCAGGGACCATCTGCCACTCTTCCTACCACTTTATGTGCCTGTTGTTTTCAGCAAATTTGGAAATGTTTTGGCCATTGTTTCCTCAAATTTTTTTTCTGCCTGCCCCATCTCCTCCTTCCTTTAAGGACTCCAATTATGCGTATGTTATAGTCTCACCGCTCACCAATGCTCCTCCCTCCCCTTTTTTTTTTGGATTCTTTTTTTCTCTTGGTGTTTCTTTTTATATGGTTATTATTGCTATGTCTTTAATTTCACCTATCTTTCCTTATACGTTTCTAATCTTCCATGAATTCTGCCCAGGGTGTTTTCATTTCAGACATTAATTTTTATGTCTGGAAGTTCAACTTAGGGCTTTAAAATACTTTCCTTGATACTCTACTTAATTTTTTGAACATGTGATAGTCATGATACCTGTTTTAACATCCTTATCTACTAATTCTAACATCTATGTCAGTTCTAGATTAGTTTTGATAGATTTATTAACTTCCTCATTATTAGCTATGATTTCCTGCTTTTTTTGTATGCCTGGTAATCTTTGATTGGATGCCAGGCATTGTGAATTTTACCTTGCTGTGTGTGGGATATATTTGCATCCCTCCAAATATTCTTGAGCTTTGTTCTGAAATGCAGTTAAGTAACTTAGAGTCAATTTGATTCTTTTGGTTTTGCTTTTATGATTTGTTGGGCAGGTCTGAACTTGGGTACTCTACCCAATACCCTGTGGGTTATGAGTTTTCCAGTCTGGCTGGAGGGAACAGGCACTGTTCCCAGCCCTGCTTGAGTGCTAGGCACTGTTTTTCTCCTGGCCTTGGGTAGTGTTTCTTACATATATGTACTGATTACTACTCAGCTGATTGTTGACCCTCTGCAGAGGGTCATCTTGTGGTATAGATTCTCTGTTCAGTCTCTCCTCTCTGATATGCTGTCCTGAGAACGCTAACCACTTTGGTCTCCTCAGAATCTCAGCTCCATCTCCTCAATTCAAGAACTGGATTCTGCTTGGATTTTCCCATTGCCGCTTGGCCTGAAAACTTTCTCCCAGCAGTAGGCTGGGACAGCTGTAGCACTCATCTCATTTGTCCATCTCTCAGAGATCATTGTCCTTTGTTACCTGAAGTCCAGGTCTTAAAAAATGTTTCTTATAGCTGTCTGTTTTTGGTTTTGGTTGTTTCTGCAGGGAGGATAAATCTAGTTCCTATTATTTTTTAACTTTCAAATTTGCTTAAGCAGCACTTTATATGTCTTAACTCAGGTAATTCTCAGAGCATTCCATTCAGGTAGCTACTATTCTTACCCCCATTTTTTTTTTATTGTGGTAAGAACAATTAATATGAGAAGGTAATTAATTTAAGAAACAATTAATTTAAGAAGGTAAAGGTTTAAGTGTGCAACAGTGTGTTGTTAACTACAGGCACAATGTTGCATGGCAGATCTCTAGAATTTATTCATCTTGCATAACTGACACTTTATACCTATTGAATGGCAACCCCATTTCCCCAGTGTACTCTCAATTTCTGTGAGTTTGACTATTTTTAGATACTTCATGTAAATGGACACGAGAAAATTGAGACACCTGAACAACTGGCCTAGCTGGTGGCCTAGCTGACTCAGCCACCACACTTATCTTTTGGGGTAGAGGTGCAGAGACAGGTGGCTGAGCTGACCCAGAGTTGGGGGTTATAGTCATAGGTTGGGTTGGGAAGCAGAATAAGGGCCTACTGCCTGGAAAGTACTGAAGAGAGAAGTCAGGGGCTCAACCATGAAGTCCTAGCTGGTGGGGAAGACTGTGGTCAGGAAGAGCTCTGGATGGAGAGAAACACAGGGCATCAGGGAAGACTGTGGGAAGGTGAGAGGCAAAAGCGTGGGCAGTGGGGGTGTTCAAGGCCTGGCCTCTCTGGCTCAAGATGGGGTCCTGGGTGCAGTTGAAATGGAGGAAGGTGACAGTCATTGGTGTTAGGAGGTCAAGAGTTCTGGTGTCCAACTCAGGGTGGCGACAGGAGATAAACTGGGGAGGGAGATTCTGGGCCCCTGACTGAGCCACCCTAGAATGTGAGAGTGCCTGTGTGTGCTGGCAATGAAGAGGGAGGGAAGGTTGGGTCTAAAGGAGAGGAAGCATTTTGCTCACAGGTGGATGGAGCAAAAGCAGGAGCTGAGGGCTGGGAGGGCAGCCACTGCTCCAGGCCTTTAAAGATGGCAGGAGAGGTAAAGCCAGCTCTGTGTGTGTGGAGATGTGGGTGCATGCATGCGTGAGAGCGCATGTGGGTGTGTGCAGTTGTGTGTCAGTGTATGTGTATGTGAATGTATGCTCTGGATGTGAGAGTGTATGTATGTGAATGTGCGTGTTACTGTGTGTGAGCGTGAGAATGTGTTAATGAGGGTGTATGCTCACTCGTTGTAAGCTTAAATGTCCTGTTGCTGGTGACCCCATCTATGTGACTGGTCCCAAAGTGAGGGTCCAGGAATGGAGCAGTGATGGGGAGGAGGTATGGGCAGTGCTAGGGCCAGTGAGCGTGTGTGCAGCCATGAGTATGAGGGTGAAATGAGAAATGTCTGTGTGTGTATGTGTATGTATGGTCAGGGTTGATTGAGGGGAGGAAACAGTTTCTGTGGCATGACTGAGGGCTAGGGGAGAGGGCTCACAGTGGGACAGGGTTCTGGGGGTGCAAGGGCAGAGGGCAGTGGGAGAGAAGGCCCTGAAGGGTGGGAGGTGAGAGAGGATGGGGCTTGGAGGGTGTCCCTTGGGGAATGGAATGGCCTGGACTGAAGGATCCCAAGGGGATTGGGGGGCAGATTTTCTAGTTTGGGGCTTGTCTGAGGGGCCCAGGCATGAGAATACAGGGCCTGCCTCTAGGACCTTGGGGTCCAAGATTGGGGCTTTGCACACAGATGATGGGAGTAATGTGCACGTGTTCATGTGTGTGCAATGCCTGGACGCTGGGGTCAGAGCCCCCTGACTCCCCTGACAGCTACCCCCATCTTTCCTCCCACCCACCCGGGCTGTACCCCACAGACTTCTGCTCCCATTATATTTGCTCTCTAGCTCCCCCGTCCCAATGCCCCTCCTCCTGACCCTCCTTCTCTCACAGGGCTGCCTCCTCCCCAGCCCCGTGTGCTACAGCACCTCTGCTCCAGGCCTCACCTCAGTCTGCTGGTCCTGGGCTTCAACGTCCTGCTGCTGGTGGCCATCTGTGTGATTGGGTCCCAAAGTGAGAGTCAAGGGGGCCAGCAGGGAGGGGCAGCTTGGGGGAGGGGGTATGGGCAGTGCTGGGGCAATATGGGGTAGTGAGGGGGCCAGGGACATGGGCGATGATGGGGCTTATCATTCGGGAGGCAGCCCCCTCCACTTTGTCCCGTCCCTCTCTCCTGACAAGAAGCCCTACTGCAAATGGAGCTGTGGACCCTAAAAGCAACTTTCAGCAACTTCTCCTCCAGCACGCTGGGGGACATCCAGGCTCTCAGCTCCCACGGTGAGCGGGCATGCCCCCAGGGGAGGGCCTGGGTGGGCCATGTGGGCGAGGCAGCAGTTTCTCACACAGGTGTGCTGGGTCACACAGTGTTTGGGGTGCTGGGTGGATAACCCAGCCAGAGGAGCTAGGCAAGGCCTGGGACGCTGCTCCCTGGGCTGAAGGACCCTGGAGGAGGAACAGGAGGGGAAGAGGATGGTGGTTCATGCCAGGTAGAGAGAACCAAATCCGTACCTGCCAGGGGGAGCACACTGCCCATTCTGCGACTGTAAACACGTCTGGTGGGGGGCAGCAGTGGTGGCTCAGTGGGAGGCGTGGGGCAGGGAGGCAGGCCGTGCCAATGAAGTGATGCTTTCTTTTCAGAAAGTGGGGACCTATGGAAGGGATTTAAGCAGGGGAGTGGCCTGAGCAGGTTTGTGCCCAGTAAGCCACTGTGACAGCACAGGGACCAGGCTGGAGAGGCTGGGGGCGGGGCAGCGTGTGTAACACCCCAGGGCAAGGTGGTGGTAGCCCTGGGCTGGTGCTCTGGTGGGAGAGGCTGGACGGATGTCAAGGAGGCAGAACGGAGGGAAAACGGTTTGGCTTTCCGCTTTTGCAGGAGGCAGTGCAGGTGACAGGCTGACATCTCTGGAAGCCAAGCTGGAGAAACAGAAGCAGGACCAGAAGGCAGGTCAGAGCCGCTCCCGTGTGTGTGTGTGTGCGTGTGTGTGTGTGTGTGTGTGTGTGTGTGTGTGTGTGTGTGTTGTGAGCGCGCCTTCTGCTTCCCCAGCCAAAGGTGAAAAGCAGTGCGGGGGGCCTGGTGGGCGGGGCACCCCACTGCCCCCACCGCCGCCCCTCCCTGTCCCCTAGATTACGCCGCCTTGCTGCTTCACCTGAAACACTTCCCACTGGATCTGCGAGTCCTGGCTTGTCAGATGACATTCTTCCAGAGCAACGGTAGGGACGGGGGCATCTCACAGTCCTGGTGTGCCTGCCCCCTCCAGCTGGCTCTCAGCCCGCTCTGCCCGCCAGGCACAGAATGCTGCCCGGTGGACTGGCTGGAGCGTGAAGGCAGCTGCTACTGGTTCTCTCGCTCTGGGAAGACCTGGCCCGAGGCTGAGAAGTACTGCCAGCTGGAGAACGCCCACCTGGTGGTCGTCAACTCCAGGGAGGAGCAGGTGACCCGGACCCTTCCTACAGGCGGGAGGGAACTCAGGAGTGCAGACTCTGGGAGCCTGGAATAGGCTCGCTTTGTTACTTTTTTTAACCTATGGAAGAGTCCAGAGGCAGAGGTCTAACAGAGCTCTGAGAGGTTCCCGGTGGGGCAGCCATTCCCCGTAGGCGATGGGAGATGGCCGCTGGGGGCTTGGGCGAAGGGGCGGGAGCCAGGTGAGCAGGCGACCGAGGGGGCAGATCAGCAGCAGAAGGAGCTGATGGGCCGGGCTTGGTGGGGAACTCCGGGGAGGCGCTAGAAGCCCCTTCTTGCTGTGTACTGGCCTTGGGATGTGGGGGTCAGGAACAGAATGGGTGGGATTCCCAGTGTCACACCCGCCGGGGGTCACTGGGTCCCTCCAAATCACTCCAGATCTCCCCTCCCCTCTGCTGCCACCAGACCACAGCCCCCAACACCAAAGTCACAGAGAAGAACAAACCCATTAGAATAGGTGGGGCATATTTTGGAAAAGGAGGATATAAATAGTAGCATTTCCCGAGTCCTTACCGTATGCCAGGCACTTTCATGTATTCACTTCTGCAATTCTCCCAACCCTGTGGGGTAGGCACTCTCATCCCCACCTTGAGGAAGTAGAGATGAGGGACTAAAGATCAGGGAGGTTAAGAAACTTGCCGCCCAGCTAGTATGTCAGGCGGAGCCAGGACCCTAACCCTCTCTACCTCTTCAGCCCATGCTGTCAACTAGTACATGTCACTAGAATGTATTTATCAAATGTACATATATTTATATGTTATGTGTTTAATATATGTATATTTACATGGTGGAATGATCACAAACATATTTTGCTTTACTGATCAGGTTGAAGTTGCCAATATCCAAGCAATGTGGGCCTATACGCATGTCAATTTCATGGGGGTCAACCTAAGATTTCAGTTCTCTGTGACTTGGCCCACAGCAAGTTCCTGATGGCTACAACTTCGCGGTGGATCGATTGTGCTTTCATCATTATGAAGTGAATGTCAGCATCTGGTTTAATACTTTTTTGCCTTGAAATCATCTTGTGGTATAGATAGAATGGTCCTTGATTTCTTTTTACCTGCATGCTTAATATAGCTCTGTTCATCCTTTCATTTCTGAGCTTCTTGAGTCTCTGTTTTAGGTTAGTGATTCCCAGCTTTGGCTGGGTCTTGTAAGCTTTTAAACTTGCGGAGTTTAAAAAATATTGACACCTGGTCTCACACTCAAAGAGTTTGGGTTAATTCACCTTGGATTCATCTGAGGTACTGAGATTTCTAAAGGTTCCCCCAAGAGATGCTACTATATAACCAGGTCTAAGGTATTTCTCCTATCAGTTGTGTATTAGTTTTGGTTTTGACTTTTAAAAATCTAATGAGTCTTTTTTCTTTTAATAGGTATACATCTCATTTCCATTGATTTTTAATAAGTGTGTTTAATCTTAATCCTGTCTTTTTTCTGTTTATAGTCTTCTCATTTTCTCCCATTTGCTATGTGAAATGTGTCCTTTTCATTTTCTTCCCTATGGTATTTTGAACGAGATGTAACTTATTTTTAGTTATATTAGTGATTACCTTTGTAACTTAATAATGGGTTGAAATTTACTGGCTTCAAAAAAAATCAGGGTTCTATTCCTTTCCACATGAAAGATGAGGAAAGTAACACATTATTGCTCACATGCCTTATTCTTTTTTTAAAAAACTGGGGTGGAATTGGCATATAACGCTGTGTAAGTTTGAGGTGTACAATGTGTTGGTGTAATACATTTATATATTGCAATGTGACTACTACAGTAGTGTTAGCTAGCATCTTTATCATGTCACATAATTGTGATTTCTCTTTTGTGTTGAGAACAATCAAGATCTAGTCTTTTAGCATCTTTGAAGTTTTTAATGCCTCACTCTTGATCTCCTAGACCCCTTGAGTGTTTTGCCTAAATAGTTGGAGTCTTTGTTATTTGGAATTTCATTAACTTCATCCAGATATATTTTGGTGCTCATTCTCTCTATAGTTTTGCTCTGAGGCCAGCAGAGTTAAGTTAGGTTCTCTAACATTTTAGATTTTCTTAAGTAATATGTCTGGATGTTGTCTGTTGTCCGCTTGTTCTCTCCTCGGGAACGCACCATCCAGCGACGTCTGCCATGCCTGCCCCCACAACCGCCACCTTGTTGCTGTTCACGCCCATCTGTCTCTCTTTCCCTCTGCATTCTGGGTCCTTTTCTCATCTTCCATATCTCAGGCTTGCTTTTCTGCCAAGTTCCTGGTTCTTTTTTATACAGTTCAAAATGTTCTCTTCAACTTCTGCCCTTTACTTATCACTGTGTTATCTTTCTTCTTTGATATGTTCTTTGATATTTGATAGCATTCATCTCCTCTTTAGTTTTCATGAGGATGTAAAGAAATTGTTCTCTAATATCTCATGTTTTAAAACATGTCTGCTTTTCAAAGTATATTTTTTATCTTTCTTTTTAATATCACAGTTATTTCCTTCTCCTCCTCTTCCTCCTCATTCTTTTTATTTTTGCATATGTTCCATGAGAATTTCCTCAGTCTGCCACTTTTGTGAATGGGTACAATTCTTTCTTGCCTGTTATTTTTCCAAGAATAGAGGAGATGAATTCTCCAGGACCATCTTCGGATCATCTGGCACTGTTCGATTCCTGCTCTCAGTCTTCAACACAGAGAGCTGGATATTGATGATTTGTGTTCTTCATTCAGATATTCAGCTTCTTTGGTAATGGGAAGAGGGCACTGGGGCAGCAGACAGAATATCTTGTCTCCAGGCACTTCCTCCAGTTTTGGTGACTCCTCTGAATCTGTGGAGCAGCCCCCCTCAGCCTTTAAGGACTGTCCCTTCATGCACAGGACATAGTCCTATATCCAAGATTCTAGAACTCAAAAGTGCTATGTATCTGTCCTCAGATGAGGTGACTAACTTCAGTGTTAGTTGTGTCTCAAGAAAGTTAGAGTAGAATTAGGAAATTTCTCTCTAGATGCACCTGGAGCCCTTTCACTTGCAGGCCAAAGAACTGTCATTTGTGCTGTGGGTCAACTCATCCTTCCATTTCCCCCACCACCTCCCCGTGCTGCCCCCACAAACCATGAGGCTTCAGCCCATGAAGAGCATATCTGGAAGAGAAAGTCCCTTGGGTGTTGGTTGTCCTGGAGGTGTGCACAAGTCCTGGGAGCTAGCCCAGAGGCCACTTTCAGCCCAGCTCCTGCCCGCTGGCTGGCTGGCCGCCCCTCACACCCAGGGCAGGCTCCTGTTTTCAGCACGGACTGCCAGGCCCCATGTAGCCAAGGCATACCAGGGCTCTGGGCACTGGGTCCAGGCTTGGAAGCTCCAGGGCCTGGCAAACCTCTGGAAATGACAGCTACATTTAGGAGCAGGAGCAGGGACAGATGAGAGGCCAGTGAAATCAAGACCCTTAGTAAGTGTTGGGGTCCATGGGTCCAGAGTCAGGATTCCAAGAGTTTGAGGTTGTGGGTGGAGATGGGGAGAGGACTAGAGTCAGGGTAGCAGCTGTGAGCTGGGAATGGAGTCGGGGGCATAGTGGGGTGGGGGACAGGGAGGCAGCGGTCACACACTCAGGCACTAGATTGACTTTCTGGGCTCTAACAACTATGCAAGTTCCTTAATCTCATGTGTGATCTGTGAACCGTTAGAGTGCCCAGTGTAGGGAGCTTTGTGAGGATTAAAGAGGATAATCCTTGTAAAGTGCTTAGCTTTAGTCCAGGAAACGTTCCCTAAATAATATCAATGGTTACAGAAACAAAAGGCAAGGAACTGGTTGTCCTGAGAACTGATGCTTCAGCCTGGGGACAGACCAGGCTGGGGCAGGCTGAGGCAACCACAGCTAATGCCTGCGTGGAGCTACAAGGGACTAGACACTTCCCTTCTGCCTGTTTTCCAGAAATTCATTGTACAACACACGAACCCCTTTCATACCTGGATAGGTTTGACTGACAGCGATGGCTCTTGGAAATGGGTAGATGGCACAGATTATAGGCATAACTATAAGTAAGTGGTCTCCTCCTTTCTCTCTTTGTTAGTTTGGCCTGGAGTGGGCCACCTTGCCTTTTGCACCAGTACACTCCCACTTGTCCCTCAGGGACCAAATCCCCCAACCCTCTCCCCACCAGACTCCTAACCTCCAAGTCTGCAGCTTCTGCTCCCGGAAGGGCTCTCCTGAGGTGGGGGGAGGGCTGCTGGGAGGGCTGTGGTCAGAGCCTGAGTTCTGTCCTGCCTTCCTAGGAACTGGGCCGCCACTCAGCCAGACGACTGGCAGGGGCACGAGGTGGGTGGAGGTGAAGACTGTGCCGAAGTCCGGTCTGATGGCCGCTGGAACGACAATTTCTGCCAGCAGGTGCAACGCTGGGTGTGTGAGATGAGGCGGAACATTACCAGCCAGGGGTTCTGACCAGCAGGTCTCTAACTTGCCCTGACTCCAGCTGCTCTACTGGGGATTTTGAAGAAAGGAAGAATAGAGGTAGAGGTATGGGGAAGGGTTGAGCAGAGATAGAAGGGGGTGATCTAAGAATCTCAGACGCTGGAGAGACTGAGATCACACCTCCTGCAACTCACTGTACTTACTATAATTTTCAGCCTCCTCAGTGGAGTAGGAAAAGAAGAAACAAATACTTGAAACTCTCTGTGGACTGGTTATTTGGAGCTGGGAAATTTAGGGTGCAAAGGGAAAGGAAGGGTCTGGAAGAGAATAATATGAAGTGCTAGAAAGTTGCTTCTTGACACCCACTCTCAAGGGACATGGTCAGGGAAGAGGCTGGAGCAGAACCACTCATTGGAAGGCACTGGGGGATGGGGTGGGGAGGAGCCGCTGGGCTGGGGACTGGACAGCCTGCCCACCCCCTGAGGGGTTACCCACAGAAACAGCTTTCCTGCAGGGGTGATCTCCAGAAGAAGGTTCAGGGAGTGCCCCGGCTCCCCTCTCAGCCTGGGAACCACAGACAGGGCTAGCAAAGGCCAGTGAAAAATGTTTGCCAAGAGAAGGGGATTCATAAGACCCTTTCCCACTACTTTCAACATGGCTGCCTGCTGCCTCTTTTTGACACCAAAGAGATCTAAATGTATCTCGAGCACAGGGTATCACTAACCTTTTCCATGGTGGGTAGACTTCACCTCCCAAAGATTGTTCTGACACTGACCTTAAAAGGGCCTTTAAGCAATTTGATTTTACTTTTATTACAAAAGTAATATATACTATTAGTAAAAAATATTTCAAATACACAGGTGCACACACACCCATACACACAGGATGCTCTTCCCTCGGCCCTCCCACCTCTCTCCAGAGTTAACTGTTTCATGGATATTGTTTTAGCCAGGGTTCTCCAAAGAAACAGAACCAATAGGATGTGTGTGTGTGTGTGTGTGTGTGTGTGTGTGTGTGTGTGTAAAGAGACAGATTGATTTGTTGTGAGGAATTAGTTCATGCGATTATGGAGGCTGACAAGTCCCAAGTTCTGCAGGTGAGTAGGCAAGCTGGAGCCCAGGAGAGGCAACAGTGTACTTGCATAGAAAGACAGCAGGCTCAAGACCTAGGAAGAGCTGTTGTTTCTCAGTCTGAAGGCAGAGATAAGGTTGATATCCCACTTTGAAGGGGATCAAACAGGAAGAACTCTCCCAACTCACAGGAGGGTCAGGCTTCTTGTTCTATTCAGGGCTTCAACTGATTAGATGAGGCCCACCACATTGAAAATCTGCTTTATCAATTCAAATGTCCATCTCATTCAAAAACATCCTCACAAACACACCCAGAATAATGTTTGGTTTCCTGTCAGGCCCTTTCTTGCAAATCTGCCTATATGCAGTTCTACATATCCCTATGCAGCTTGCTTTTTAAACTTTCCATTGTCAGGTGAACTTTTAATACAATCTATCTTATTCCTTGACAAGTTATACCTCACTGAATTTAGTAGTGTAAGGAATTTCAAAGTATGGATGTGCCACATGTTATTTAATCATTCTGTATGGTGGACAACTCAGTACCATTTTTATTTGTCTTCACATATAATAGTTCAAGCAATTTTTGCTTCTAAACTTATGCTAGGTCAAGAGTCCCAATTGTCAGTTGCAAGATTTTTTAGGATTTCTCCTTCAAAATATATATGATTGAAAAAATATATATATATATATATGATTGGCATTAAATTTTAAAATTATGAAAGTAATATAACACATGCAGTTTAAAGTCATGCAGTGCTAGAAGCAGCCACTCCTGCTGTTCAGAGAACCCACTTTAAGTGTTTTTGTTGCTTTTCCCAGTATTGACATCTGGATTTGTAAATAATACACATAAATGGATCTCTCTTTATCAATGGCTGACATTACTTAGTCACTCTTTATCATGTAGATGAGGTACAATCTTATAACATAGTCTACAGCAATTTTCATTTAAATCCCTACTCAGAATCCATCAGTTATGGTGTGTCAACATTGTTAACTGCTGAGCCAAGTGGTATGGGCTGATTACATTTCCTTTCTTGCACAACTTTTGTTTCTTCTGAAGTTAATAATTGTTTCATTTAAAAAGTCACTTCATATTCTTTGAACCTATTATGAAATCTTCCTTAACTGTAAAAAGCCTGACAATATAATTTTCTGCACATGCAAAAGTCATATACCCAGTATTTCATTTGTCAATTTCCCCCCCTAGAACCATAGGGCGGAACCCAAGTTTCACAGGGCCTGAGGTGTACATGGTTTTGGGAAGCCCTCTTTAGGAAAAAAAGTTATTAACACAAAATTATTTGTGTAGAAACTCCCCCCCAAATTAAAAAGAGCTGAAAGTTACCCTAAACACCACAAAATCCAGAAAAAGGATACAATAATACCTTAAAAATCAAACACACCTCTAATATCTATTTTTCCTATACTTTCTTGCTACATATTCATTGTTTATCTCTGCACATGACAAAGATGTTGTAGGGTGACTTTTCCACACAGGAAAAGAAAGATGATTGTTTCCTCTAGAAGGCTGCTGCTTTATTGCTGATGCCAAGTGTTTGAGGGCAAGTTCATGTCCCACGTGGTGTCATCCCCAAGAGAGCCTGCACAGTTGGTGGCAGAAGTGCCCCTGGAAGCCATTCCTGTGCTAGTGGGCCAACTGCAAGAACGCACGATGTGGTGCACATCTATATCCATGTCCCTCTCAAGCCAAATGTACTCCAACCTAACTTCTCAGTCACATGAAGAAAAGCTACCTGACACTGAGGGAAGTGCAGGAGGGGAAGTTGGCCTGTCCGTCTTAACCAATTGTACTTAAAACCACCTCTGTTTTCATAGTTCGAAAACTTACAATCATGTGGAGATGTTCATATAGGCCCTTGGGAGTCTTCGAAGGAAACCACGAGTGGTCCTCCAGCTCAAGCTCCCTGGGCTCACTGTCAGTCCAGCTCTGTACCTCCCTCCTCCACTCTCCCTGCCCCACCGGGTCTTGTGTTCTCAGCTCCCACTGGAGAGGACGTTCTCTAACCCATGGGCACAAGAGTAATCCTGGGACTCCCTACTTGTCCTGAGAAATTCCTGGGCCCCTCCCTTTCCCCTGGGTTGGATCCTGTCTTCCCTGGATCTGTGTCTTCTTCTTTCTCGGTTAATTCCCTTGTTTCGTTGATGCATCCCCTCTAGTAGCTCACTGGAAAAGTGGGTAAGGGAGGGACATTCTTTGAGAGACTGCCAGGTCATTTGTGGGAATATAGAATTCGAGGTTGAAAATAATCTCCCTTTACTGTTTTGTAGGCTTCAGTCCTTGTTTTCCAGCTTTCAGTGTGCTGTTGAGATCTGACCCTGTTCCAGGCCTGAGCCTCTGCATGTGAACTTCCCCCTTCTTTAGGATGTTCCCTTTCCCCCTGGTCTTTGAAAATTAGCGCTGATGTGCCTTGATGGGGCCTTTCAGTTATCATACCTGCCTCTCAGCAGGCTTTTTTAATCTGGGAGAGTGGAAGTGGTGATCTAAGAGAAGCAGTCAAGAGTCAGGTGGTTGGCCTCTGGGCCGTGGTGAGGGTGCCACTTGCTTGAAATCTGCTGGCACTGCCTGCCTCCCTGCTCACTGTCCTCAGGGTTCTCACGGAGGACCTCTGGAGACTCATGGTTGACACGCAATACCGATATTACATTATATTGTTCAGTGTTGCCCTCTAAATCCTAGATTCTGGGCTCCAAACTTACTCTTTTCAATCACTGAGCTATAGTTTGAATTGAAAATATAACTTCTAAATTATTACAGTAAAAGTAAGTGCTAAGTATTGCTAAGTAAAAGAAGCCAATTTGAAAAGGTTATTTCCTATATGATTCCAACTATATGACAAAACGCAAAACTATGGAGACAGTAAAAAGGTCGGTGGTTGTCAGGGATTCAGGAGGAGAAAGAGAGGCAATGAATAGTTAAAACACAGGGGATTTTTAGGGAGAGTGAAACTGTTCTGTATGATCTGTAAAAGTGGTTACATGTCATTATACATTGTCAAAACCCACAGACTGGCAACACAAAGAGTGAATCCTAATGTAAACTGTGGACTTTACTTAGTAATAATGTATCAATATTGGCTTATCAATTGTATTAACAGTACCACAGTAATACAAGATGGAAAATTACAATAAACAACTTTCTCTTCTTTTGAGTTATCAGGATGACTCACTGGAGGAGGAAGGAAACTGAAATGTGTTCTATGGTTGTAAACAACATCTGATAAAGTAAAATTGTCTCTGAAGGATGAGCAAATGGTGGGAGCCAATAGCTTCCTATAATAATAATAACAATAAATAAAAACAACACTTGTTTGTACCATGCTTTTAGAATTTTGCCACGACAATCTATCAAAGAAAGGTCTTAGTAAGTGCCAAAAAGAAGAGATTTTTGCATCCTCTTATTATAATACAATTAAATTAAAATTATATTTAAATATAAAGAGAACCAAAATGTCCCAGCTATTTGCAAATGAATAAATACTTTCCCATATTACCATGATTCAAAGTGAAAATTATCCAAACACTGAAAGAAAAGTTAATACTTATTCTTCTCAAACATCCCCCAAAATAGGAGAGAATGCTCCCAAATTTATTCTATTAGGCCAGCATTACCCAGATACCAAAACCAGACTAAGATACTAAAAAAAAAAAATTACAGACCAATATCCCTGATGAACATAGATGCAAAAATGCTCAACAACATATTAGCAAACCAAATTCTAAAATACAGTAAAAGGATCATTCACTATGACCAAATGGGATTTATTTTTTATTTATGAGTCTATTTATGTTTTGTTTGTTTGTCTTGTTTTTTACATTCAATGATATAGTCTACATATAAGTGAAATCCTATGGTATGTGTTTTTTTCTGTCTGACTTATTTCACTTAGCACAATACCCTCTAGGTCTATCCATTGTTGTGGATAACAAGATTTCATTCTTTTTAATAGCTGAGTAATATTCCACAGTATATATTTATTTTCATAAATACAGAGAACACACTGGTGGTTGCTGTAGGGGAGGAGGGACTGGGAGATGAGTGAAATAAGTGAAAGGGATAGGAGGTACAAACTTCCAGTTATAAAATAATTAAGTCATGGGGATGAAAAGTATAGCATGGGGAACATAGCCAATAATATAATATCTTTGTATAGGGACAGATGGTG